AATGCCCGATTTGGTTCGAAAATGTTTGATTTCGAGTGAAAATGGTATAACAAGAGAGGGTACGAAAACTTCGGATTTCCTCTGAAGTTCCGCAGCAGTGTGAAGTATTCTATAAGGTATTCTGGATAATCAATCTCATCGTAAATACGCGGTTCAAAAATCGAAAAAATGTCCACCGGCAGTATAACGCCAAATGCATATTCTGATGCAAATCAGAAAACCGCTATATGTTGACGGTAGTTCATGTATTCGGATGGGCTTCTCTCAGAATGAAATGATTTGCTAACGGACTCTTGAATGCCAGAGGTTCCACATTTCGTTAGGAGTCGGAGAATCCGAATTTTGATAAGTTTTCCCAGCCACAACACTGGACATACTTCATGTGTGCCTTAGTCCACGAGGCGTTCTTCTTTTGCAGCCATGTTAAAGCACCATTGCTGAAGCCTTGACCGTAGGAGTTGTACGCATGGTAAACTGTGCTCTCACATTCCATACACATAAATTGCACTTCGGAATATCGTAGAAGTGGATACCTGAAAATTTTCAATAGCATTTTTCCTTGGCAGAAAGCAAACACGAGACACTCCAACTACAAGCTCTAAGTAAACCAACCATACCCTAGTTTCTTTGAGACCGGGGTTGTAATGTGCCCATCCACAAGAAACCAAGTATACACGAAATCCCTGAGATCGAGTAGACGTGGCTGCATGTTTCAACTTAACCTGAAGGAGTCTATGCTTCTGGTGAGATATTTTCATCTTGACACAATTGTTGTCGTGTCTCTGTCCAACACAGAACAAGATGACAGTTGTCCCAGACTGGAATATTCCACGAGTAACCAGTTCCGTGCCATGTTCAAATGCCACGCCTACTCTGGCTCAGGGATAAGGAGTGTGTGTGGGGTAGGACCACCAACAATTGCAAAGACCGCCTGCTTACGATCGATAATTATGGCACAGTGGCATTTCGCTGCCATTGTTCAACAGGATAGTCCGTCTTATCTCAATAAAACGACAACTGCTACAGTCTCCGAGAGTATGGACCAGAAACCAAGGTGAAAATAGAATGAATAGGGACTAGCAGGTAAGCTACACAAGAGCAAAATCTGGGCAGGTTCATCTGCAGCACAATTTCTAAGTATCACTCTAGTTATGCAAATAAAACAAAATCTAACGGTCGTAGCAATCTAAATCCTACAGGGGTGAAGAGCGTGGCTGAAAACTGAACAATCTAAATCAATAGCGCTAAAAATGAGTTTATCACGAGCGTGCAACCGTGTCCGCATGTTCACAGATTCCGTACGCTGCGCGCATGCGACGTCGCCCCCCCCCCACCCGAACCGATAAGCGAATACGCAGTCAGAGGTAAAGAACAACCAGAAGTGAGAGGACGCAGACAAGCAGCGCGTTTGGCTATGGCTAGGCATTTGGCTGGCACTGAGTGTGCCCCCCCCTTCAAGGCTACGTCACACTTTGTGGCAGCGTCCACCAGCGACGAATAGCGTCCACCAGTATTCGGCAGCGTCAGCGACTAGAAAGTATAGAATATACTGGTGTCTGGCAGCATCCACCAGCGACCAGCTGCGTCTTGAGGGCTGAGTAAGTATGGATGTCGATCCAGCGTCTGCCAGCGTCTAGCTGCTTCCACCAGCGACCAGCCGCAGACATCTCCCCATGCTCTACCAGCTGTCTGTTACCCTCCTATTGCGCCATACTTTCTACCAGCAGTCCGCTACCCTCCTCCTATCTCCCCATACTCTATGGGCTGTCTGCTACCTCCCGCCGCTCCATACTCTCCACTCCCAAACGCTGCTGGTCGCTCGTAGACGCTGGCACTCGCTAGATAGATAGCTGAACTTTCCTAGCCCTTGAAACGCTGCTAGACGCCGGCGGACGCTGGCAGACCTGATAGAAATCGATATCTATACTCCTAGTCGCTGAAGTTGCCGCCGGACGTTCGAAACGCTGCTGGACACTATTGGTCAGTCACTGGTGGACGCCACCGCAAAAAATTACAGACAGCCCCCGCGATCAAAGTGGCTCGTGGTCGCCTTTGCTGTGCAAGTAGTCTAGCCTCCAAGCTAGAAGACTGTTCACCTTTCGCGACTCTATTGTGAGCGTGGAGGCTGCTATAGCCGCTCAAAGTGCTAGTTCTAACTCCTCCTCAGTCGGACCGCCTTTACTTGCTAGAGTTCCTCCGACGGAGGCCACTCACTTGTTCTTAGTTGGGGCGGCGGGCATTGCTAATGCCCCTGGATAATTCTGCTCTCCTTCATTACAGTTTACTCATTGGAGGTATATACATTCAATTCAACCCATTTCGCGAGGTGAAACGCGTAAAAAACACGAGTGACGCAATTTTCGTGATGCAAAACCACGACGCACAAAAGGTGCGCTACCGTAATCACAAATTCAGACACCGTGTTGATAAAATTCCTTTTTCCTTCCCAGAGTTTTTCCTCTGCGTTTTTGTTGTTTTCTTTTTGTATTCTTTTTTGCACTGGATGATATCAACTACTGCGAGATGTGATAGAGAGATTTGTGAGCTAGGGGTTGCACAGAGACCGCAGGGAGGTGTGACTGTGAGGGAGCGATTTTGTTTATGTTGTTCTGGAGAACGCTTCTTGCCTGTTTTCTTCTTTGGGAGATTACTTATCAGCTGCTGTTTCATAATTGGAAAGCAGCTATCCATGAGACTTTTATCGCGGGAGCTGTCTTTAACGCAGCCTGAGAAGGCCTAGCATAGCGGGAAAAGTCGTCCAAAGAGCGGTTTTACCTCTACACCCAACCACCGCCGTGACGAAAAGAAGCTCTTAACAAATTTTCAACATTTCACTTCGATTTTGTTACTCTCCCACTGTTCTGCACCTCTACTATAAGTAGCCACCAAACTATCGCGCCTTATGCCATAAAACAATTGAAGCGAGGCTTTTATCAACGAGCATCTGATTCACGAGAACTAACCATCGACTGTCTTCCTTAAGTGATCATCAACACATCGAACAGTATTGAATGGAGAGCACATGGGATATGCTGAAAAGAAAACCTACAGTCACTAGTCGTTAATAGCCAAAACTTGGTGATTTCGTCTCAAATATGCACTAATAGAGAAATGTTTAAAACAACGTGTATTACAATGTAGTTATTATATAACCATTATCGATGTCGTAAGTGAATGGACTGCATCCGCATTTCGCATTGAAATAGTCAGCTTTGCATTTGGCATCGCAATTCACTGCTGAGTACGGTGAAAGGCTCGTGAATCCAGGAGGCCATTCCGATGTGCAGTTACCCCAGTTCTTGCGAGGAAGCAATATATACTGTAAGAAATGAAATTCTGTAGAAGAACATAGGAAGTCAGGGCACACCATCCCGTTGGGGGATTTTTTTGTTAAAAATTTGCTCCGATACGATCCCGCTTTCCCATCCCATATACCATCTTTACCGCTTTTCCGCTTTTTCCGAGATCATAATTTCGAGGCGCTGCCGCCAGTCGAGGAGGGAAGTACGCGGAAATGAGAAACACCAAAAATAGCTGAAATTTTCTTACTGCAAGATATGGCCCTTTGTCCCTTCAATCCCCCACACAGCTCCCCCCTCCTTACCAGCCAGATACGAAGTACTTTGTGATGAGCTATGATAGAAATATAAGCATCCTCACAGTGCTCGTAGAAATAGCTGAATAAACACGAGCTGTTGGAGAAACGCTTATTCCCTCTGATGTCAGATAAGGTATCGCATCTGGAGGGTGCACATAGTAACGAAATCCATTTTCGAAAGAGTCAGAGAATACTGGTTCTGGATCACCTGAAAAACATTTAATTGAAGAAATTCAGGTATTTTCTTAGCTTAATTTAACTCTCTAGAAATAAAGAGTCTGAGCTCATCACGTTTTTACAAATATCAGCCTTTTTCAACCACATGACTCCAAAAACTCAGAAAAAAAACATTTTAGCTGAATTCTCGTGGGGGGTTATTCCTGCCCTGATCCAACATGACCTTCGTTTCAAGGCTAAAGCTATTTGTCGCCATCATCCTTGTCACCGAAATTGATAAAAATTGTATAATCGCATTGTTTGATGTACTGCTAACAAATACGACATCCAGTTTTTAACAGCAGCACCATATAGGCTGCATTCATATTTCGCGGCAGCGTCCAGGAGCGTTCACCAGCGTCCGCTAGCGTTCCGAATGTCCGGCAACGCCAGCGTCTAAGAAAATATGGATATTGACCCAGCGTGTGCCAGCGCATGCCAGCGTTTACCAGCGGCCTAGATCACCAAATCCGCGGAAAACTTGTACTCAGGGGTGATTCAACAACTTGGTCATGAATACGACATTTGTTCTTGACGCTGGCGCCAGAAGACGCTCTGAACATCTGCGCTCTGCTAGGACTGAGCCCACAAAGTAATCGTAGTGTCCTTGATTAGAGCCAACGCCAAGAGTGAATGTCATATCGTGAATCAGGATGTTAAATAACCCCTGTATACAAGTTTTCAGCGGATTTGGTGATCTAGGCACTTCATAAATGAGCTTGCAGCCAAAACTGAGCGCGTTCCAAACGGCATCAGCCAGCGAAGTGTAGATATCGATCTAGCGTATCAGCCTCCACCAGCGTTCACCAGCGACCGGGAGTAGAGAGTATGGGGAAGTAGGAGGGTAGCAAACAGCTGGATTAGGCGTCGTGAAATGTGGCATGTGCAACCGCTTCGTACAACGACACTACACCGTCCATCAGGGCACATCATTGGTTGGGGATTTCAGTCGAGTCAGTACGCCCCACCCCCTTTTTTTCGGGAGTTGGTACGACCCCCCCCCCCCAGCCCTCTTCTGTCCTTCCTCATCGAATCGAGCCGTTGAGCGGAGAGGCCAAACCATCACAGCAGAGTCCTACTGTGAAGAAATCGACGAAATGTACCGAAAATTGCGTCAGCTGCAGCCAGCACTTGTCAACAGAAAGGGTCCGATTCTTTTGCATGACAACGCCCGCCCACACGTTTCACAAATCACTATCCATTGAATTGGGGGTTGAAGTTCTACCTCACCCGCCATATTCTCCAGACCTTTCACCAACCGACTATCACCTTTTCAAACATTTTCAGAACTTCCTTGCTGGAAAATACTTCATCAATCAGGACCAGGCAAAAAAGCCTTCGTGGATTTCGTGATTCTCGACCACCCAGTTTTTTCTTTGATGGGATTTATCGACTGGTGTGCGCTGATTCGAACGGTGCTTATTTCGATTGAATCCGATGAGTATTAAGAAAGTTATGATCGTTTAAAGTGAAACACTCAAAACGCTGAGAACTTTCCGGACAACCTAATATATACCAGTCGGATCGCCCGGCTGACGCCGAGCTCTCCTCCTTCTTTAGCTCGGCTTCGCCGAGCTGGCCTGGCTTCGCCAGGCGCACATCATAACGGGATGGAATTTGTTAATTGCCTGAGCTGCTCATATTGCGCGCTAGTGGTCGAATCATAATAGACAGAGTAACCTAGCGAAATCTGCACCCCTCATAAAGGCCTGCTGGTTTCGGCCATAACGCCCATTCTATACGTAGAT